ATGAAGATATTGAACAGAGCCGGTCCCAAAACAGACCCCTGCGGAACCCCACTCGTTACGCCTTTCCTAATTTCGCCTAATTTGATTAGTCTTTGTTTCGCTCATGTCAATGGGATAACTAGCACGAGTAAAGACTGTTTGTATGAGTAAGGCTGTAGGATTGGGCCCTAATGCAATAGCACCTGTCTTATCAGTTGTAATAGTGTCTATGCAGTATGTGTCCCCAATTCTTTGTGTGCCCACCTCACTACCCCATACCAGGGTCCCCCATTTGTCCCCCACATGCACTTAGGGCCAAATTCCGCTTTCAGGGAAAGCATGTGCCATCTCAATTGACTATGACAGAACTTGCATTCACTTTACCATGGGCAGTACTTGACCCACAGACTAATTGTGCTGAAATTTCTTACACTTCTCCTCAATCTGCAGTCGTCTTGTATCCAGGACATCTTTCATTAGCCGTTTCCTAGCTTCCTTTTCCAATCTCATTTGCTCAGCCTTCTTGGCCCAAGACTTCTCCATCTCTTCCTCCAGCAGCTTGTCCATTTCTTTCTCTCGACGTGTCTCCTCTTCCAATTGTTGAGCCAGATATTCCCGATACATCTGCTGCTCCTTGAACAGCTCTTGCTACAAAATGTGGACGGTATATAGACTGTCAATAAGCTAGTTCAAAAAGGCATTTCAAAAGTCATTTTATTCATGGAAAGCAGTGCCCGGTGGTGGACTGGGAAAAAGACTGGGAGCATGTCTATGCTGCATCTGAGAGCGAGACTCCCAGCCTGGGTCCACAGACTTGCGCCAGTGCACTAAAAACAGCTGTGTAGATGTTGTGGCTCAGACTGGAGCTTGACTTCTCAAGCCACCCCATGCTTCACACCCCAAGCTCCCAGCCAAAGCGGCAGCATCTACACAGCTGTTTTTAGCGCACTAGCATGAGCTCCACTCGTAGAAGTCAGTTGACCAGGGCTGGGAGGCTTGCTCCCAGATGCAGCACAGACATGCCCTTGGCTTCTTTTCCAAACTCTGCCACATCTCGCTGTCACTTAATCACTTTGTGCTCCAGTTTTACACTGGTCAGTCCATTGAGTTATACTGGATTTACACTGATGTGAGAAGAGAATCACACCCTAACACTGAAAAGTATTATTACCAAAGAGTTGTGCACTTCATAGCATCTGTAGGACGAGCGCATTGTACGCAGCAGGGGCTCCTTGCATCCCTCCACAGCCTGCATAAACTCCCTGTGTGCTACCCTCCCTCTATTTCAGGGACTCCCTGCAACCCCCCACCCCTCCATCATGCCAGGGGTTCTGTGTGCTCCACACTCCTTCCTTCCCCCATACCAACATCCCTCATTCTTCTCACATGCTAAGGGCTCTGTTTGCTGCCCCTTTGCCTGGTGGCAGGGGCCCTGTGTCCCTCCCAGGTTTCCCTTTCCCCCATACCATTGCTCTCCCCCCAACATTGGCAGCGGCTGTGTGTATTCCCCTCTGAAGCTGATAGGTCTGCTGATCAGATGCAATAGGCTCGGTGTCTCTCTGGCAGGGTTTTGGTCCTTCAACAGTGCCTCTTGGGGAGGTGATGGAATTGTGTGCTCACTCTGTGTCCAGTCACTCAAGTGGGGTGTTCAGTAGCACCCTGAAGGGTATGGCTCAAAGTCCACTGGTTCCCTAGCACAAGGAACAGGATACAGGGCCCTTCACCTCAGGGGACTTAAGCCTTCTTTTAGCCTCTGCTCTCTTCCAGGCCTCTCCCTGGGAGGCGGGCAGCTCAGCACTCTGATGCCCAGGAGGTAGTGAGCTTCCCCAGTGTCAAACCCCTCCTCCATTCCTGACATGACTTGCAGGTGTGGCAGGGCAGGCCACTCCAGCCAAGAGCAACTCCTTAACTCCTTCCTGCCTGGTGCAGGGTTCGTATACCCTGTCACAATCCCCTATTCCCCCTGCCAGTTTTCCCATTTTTGCCAAAATTAATAGGATTCTGCCCCTTGACACCCACAACACTTCCTGACATTTTGGAATTGGTTGGATGCGGTGTTCGAAAGTTATTGCATTACATACAAACAGACAGAGAAATGCCATCAAGTTGAATGTAGGAACTCACAAGCTTGGCCAATTACTGTAAAAATAAATTAAACCTGAATTTGAAACAAAACTCAGTTCAAATTATGAAATATTTCCAGCATTATTGCATCTTATCAAGACAGAAAACCTTTCTTTAGCGTCGGAAGCATCATTAGGCTAAAATTTATATTTTTGATGAAATAAAGAAAGAAGTTCCTTAAAGCATAACGTAATATTTTGAATTGATGAATCTAGATAGTAAATTTGAACGCAGAAGAATAATTTGAGCCAGCATGATCTAACTTAGGTCATCTACAGCACTTTCTTCTGTAGATCTCAAAGCTCTTTACCTTTTTTTGGTAATCATGATTCCCATTTTGCAGCTGGGGAAACTGAGGCATTGAGAAATGAAGTAACTTGCCCAAAGTCACACAGCAGCTTTGTGGCAAAGCCAGGAATAGAACCCAGACTAGTGACTTTTAGTACAACAACCTATCTTCTAAAGACACTCTAGCCCTATTTTGAAAGTAAACTGCAGTGCTTTTAAATATGAAAAAAACTCCTTAAAATCCTATGGTAAATCATTTACAGAATACGTAGACTCATTCATACAAATACATACATTTTCTAACTACATAGTTCAAAATTATTTTTTCTTTCAATTATGTGCCAGAATCTGAGTTTAGGACTCTGACTTTTTCCTGTAACAGCCATTAACTTTACCAGTCTTGTCTATGCCGAAAGCTTTGCAAAAACATCACACTGTTAATAACACCGGTTCAGCGCTAGCAATGCTGGGTACCACCAGTGTTTTAAGCACCAGGTCATCTAACTTTGCTCTGAACAGGTCTACTGACATAGTGCTTTAAATGGAAGTGGCAGACCTGTACCCTTTCTATACCAGGGTTCCCACTGTTGCCTAACCCCAGTGGAACTGAACCAATGCTATGAATGCAGGAAATATTTGCAGCATTTCCCTAACATGCATTAGCTTATAAACACCTAAAGCAGAATGAAGAGTGCAGTTCCTTGCTCAGCTTTAATGGTAACCTGCAAAAGAATTTTTGGTTTCCAGGCGGTGGTGAATCTACTTGTTTTTAATTTAAGAAATAGCAGGTTTCTTGAACTCAGATGTTTTCAGGAAACAGAGATGTTTATTACGAGCTCTAATACCTTAACTGAAGGGGACAGGTGTTGAACTTTAACAGAAACATCCTTTCAATACCAGGAAAGGAAGCTGGAGCTAAATAGTTGTTAAAAAAATTGTTGCAAACAGCCTGATTAAAAACAAGACTTCAATTTCTAAAGTATAAAGCAAGCAGGATTCCCTTCCCTTTTTTCCTTCGGGCTATCTTTATAAATCATAAAAAAGCAAAAGCCCAAAAGCACAATGCAAGACTGAACCTTAAGTGCTAGTGAATTTGTAGTAGAGACAGAGAAGTCTGAATTCAAGTCAGCTTGTGTCATTTAAAGCATCTCAATTGCAAACTTAAACTACACATATATCTAGCTAATAATTAAAGATTTTAAACAATTTTGTTAGTATTTAAATACATTTCAGTTCAGTTTAAATAGGATTTATTTTTCTCTGCGGTTACAAATATCCAGTCAACAACATCCATGAAACTGCAGAAAGCTTAGCATTAGACTTTCTAACTTATATTCCCAGCCAGGTTGTGTAAAGCCCCAAAAGAGCCACTGACTTGAACACAGTAGAAGCAGCATGTGGGTCAGACCAGATTCGATTCCATGATCCTCTGGGATTCCAGTCTTTTGCCCCAGACCTCTAATCTGGTCAAGTGCAAACCTAGCTAATGGTATTCATTTTAAAAAATATGCAGTCAAAGACCTTAATAAAATATAAAAAGATTTCCAACAAAAAAAAATCAATTTATAAACAGAATAGGGCTTGATTCCAATCTCACACCTATGTAACTCCATTGAGGTCAATGGAATTAGTCCAAATCAGGAGATCAGACACAGTTTGAAAAAGATCAAATGCCCTTTGCTCTTACTTTTCTTTGATTTTTTCCCTCTGTGTCTTCCTGGGATTCATGGGAAAGTCGTTCTAGGATCTTCATGTCTAGAGCAAGTTCCTCTTGTTTTTCCCGATTAAGACGCTTCATCTTTGCCCGAGCTGAATTGATCAACATGTCTCTGTGTTCCTTCTGTTTCTGTAATTTCTCCATCTGAACTCGCTCATTTTCTAGTTTAAACAGCTTCATTTCCTCTTCCTGCAACAATAAAAGAAGAGTACCCAACTTGCAAGATCACTGTATAACTTCCACAAAAAAAAAGATGGCTGGGATTAGTTTAATTGGAACATATAAGTGGGAAGATAAATATTGAAGATTTTGCTTGCTGATGTTAGGGGATATCAGATTTACTACTGTCATCTAATACAGTTGTTAAAGCATGAATATTTTAGCGTATTATTTATTAGAATTCAGGATTTTCTTTCTAATTATCATGGAGAGATTGGCGCTCTCTAAATACTTATAATGGGCAATGATTCATATAGTGTTGCAAATCAAGAGTAATATCAATTCATTATTTGTATCTGAACACTTTCAAATTTTCACACAAAAGAATCTGTGTACAATAAATATTAACTAGAGCCATTTCTAATAACGGAGCCAACCTCTGCTTCCTGTTACACCAGTGTAATTCAGAGTAGCTCCACTGCGCTACACTGTTGACTCATATTTAGCTTGTGGTCCACTAGGATTCCCAGATCCCTTTCCAGATACTCCTTCCTACGCAGTCATTTCCCATTTTGTATGTGTGCAACTGATTGTTCCCTCCTTTTGCATTTGTCCTTATTGAATTTCATCCTATTTACTTCAGACCATTTCTCCAGTAGGTCAGGATCATTTTGAATGATAATCCTATCCAAAGCACTTGCAATCCCTCCCAGCTTGGTAGCGTCCGCAAACTTTGTAAGTGTACCCTCTATGTCATTATCTAAATAATTGACGAAGATATTGAACAGACCCGGACCCAGAACTGATCCCTGTGGGACCCCACTCGTTATGCCCTTCCAGCATGACTGTGAACCACTGATAACTACTCTGTGGGAACGGTTTTCCAACCAGTTTTGCACCCACCTTAGAGTATCTCATCTAGGTTGCATTTCCCTAGTTTGTTTATGAGAAGGTCATGCGAAACAGCATCAATAGCTTTACAGTAACTCCTCACTTAACGTTGTAGTTATGTTCCTGAAAAATGCGACTAAGTGAAACGATGTTAAGCGAATCCAATTTCCCCATAAGATTTAATGTAAATGAGGGGGTTAGGTTCCAGGGAAATTTTTTTCACTAGACAAAAGACTCTGTGTGTGTGTGTGTGTGTGTGTATATATATACATATATGTATATACACACACAGACAAACACGCAGTATAAGTTTTAAACAAAATTTAATACTGGTACACAGCAATGATGATTGTGAAGCTTGGGTGAGGTGGTGAAGTCAGAGGGTGGGAAATTTCGCAGGGAATGGCTTACTGCTAAATGATGAACTGAGCCCTCAAGAGTTAACTCATTGTTAATGTAGCCTCACTCTACAAGGCAGCAGGCATGGAGGGAGGGGAGAGAGCATAGCAGACAGAGAGAGAGAGAGTGTGTGTGAGTGAGAGAGAGAGAGAAAGAAAGAGATGCACATTTCCCCTTTAAGTAGCTGACCCCAGTCTTAAGTACACTGCCTTGTTAATTAGATCAGTTTGCTGAGACCGCAGCTGCTGCCTGGAAGCTCCCTCTGTCCTGAACCCTGTCCGGTGTACCCCTTGCTCTATGGAAATGGGGTGTGCAGGAGCAGGGGGGAGGGGAACACCCTGACATTAACCCCCCCCCCCCTTCCGCTGTACAGCAAGCAGGAGTCTCTGGGAGCAGCTCCAAGGCAGAGGGCAGGAGCAGTACATGGCAGCTGCGGGAGGGACAGCTGAATGCTGGCAATTGCTAGCCTGCTGGGCAGCTGCAGCACAGGGAACTTAGGGGAGCGGGGAGCTGATGGGGGGCTGCCAGTCCAAGCCCCCACCAGCTAGCTGCAACGGGCTGCTCTTCTTGCAACAGTGAACAAAGCAGGCAGCTGCCAAACGACATTAGAAGGGAGCATTGCACAACTTTAAACAAGCATGTTCCCTAATTGATCAGCAACGTAACAATGTTAACCAGGATGACTTTAAGTGAGGAGTTACTGTACTAAAGTCAAGATATTACACGGCTTACCCCCATCCACAAGGCTTGTTACCCTATCAGGTTGGTTTGACACAATTTGTTTTTGACAAATCCATGCTGACTGTTACTTATCACCTTATTATCTTCTAGATGTTTGCAAATTGATTGCTTAATTATTTGCTGCATTATCTTTCCAGGTACAGAAGTTAAACTGACTGTCTGTAATTCCCCGGTTTATCCTTATTTCCCTTTTTATAGATTGGCACTATATTTGCCCTTTTCCAGTCTTCTGGAATTTCTCCCGTTTTCCATGACTTTTCAAAGATAATCGCTAATGGCTCAGATATCTCCTCAGTCAGCTCCTTGAGTATTCTAGGATGCTCTTCATCAGGCCCTGGTGACTTGAAGACATCTAATTAATTTTTAAACTTGTTCTTTCCCTATTTTAGCCTCTTCTGATTCTACCTCATTTTCACTGGTGTTCACTATGTTAGACGTCCAGTCACCACCAACCTTATTGGTGAAAACCGAAACAAATAAGTCATTAAGCACCTCTGCCACTTCCATTTTCTGTTATTTCCCAACCCCCACCCCCAATTGCGTAACAAGACTACCCTGTCCTTGGCCTTCCTCTTGCTTCTAATGCATTTGTAGAATGTTTTCTTGTTACCCTTTATGTCTCTAGCTAGTTTGATCTTGTTTTGTGCCTTGGCCTTTCTAATTTTGTCCTTATATACTTGTGTCATTTGTTTATATTTATCCTGTGTAATTTGACCTAGTTTCCACTTTCTGTAGGATTCTTTTTTGATTTTTAGATCATTGAAGATCTCCTGGTTAAGCCACAGTGGTCTCTTGCCATACTTCCTACACAGTGGAAAAGCTCCCCTGTTTAAGAAAATAACTGGATACCATGCTGGGACATAAACTGTGCATAGAGCCTGCAATTCTGCTTCAAAGTTACTGATGGCTCTGTAAGCTCTCCAGGGCAGAGATGGAGCCTTTTAATCTGAACTGGGAAGAGTCCAGCACACTTTTGAGCACTGTAAAAATAATAAAAATATCAGAAATACCTATATCTGAGTCACCCCACATATGATGAAGAAGATGTTGAACAGTAAAGGAGAGAAGAATGATGCAGAGTAATGGCGAGTTATTGGAGGAGGAGGCAGTTTATACAGGTTTTTGGCCAAATTCTATCTTCAGTGTAATTGCATGAGTATGAGGGTGGAATTTGATCCATAGTGTTTATTCTACATATGTTGATATAGTTGTGGTACTGAAACACTGTAAAAAATTGAGTCTTATAGCAAGTGAGGACTGAAGTGCAATGGAGGAGATGTACAGGGAAACTTGTGTAGTGCTTGTCCGACTCCTGGCCAGAATAGCATGATCATTGCCACTTTCACGAGCACTACATTTATCACTAAAATGCGGAACTGGGGGAAAAGGAGGCCCTGTGGATAAATAATAAAGACTAATTCAAGAGTGACAAGTGATTTCTGGCTACCTCAGTTTTTGGGTGCCTAACCTTAGACACCTTAAAGATGCCTTAGCATGTCTCAAAATCAGGCCCCTTTAAGGTGTCTTAAGTTGGGCACCCAAAAACAATCACTATTCACTTTTGAAAATGGAGGCCTTTGTGGATAAATTCATGTTTACAATACATCTTCAGAGGAGGCTGAAGAAAAAATTAACAGCATCATGTCACCAGTCAGTGGAAAGAGTAGCTGAGCCCTCAGCTTCAGAGAGCAGTAAGTCAAATTCCAAAAAGATTTCACAGGGAACCACTGTCAGACATCAGAAAAATCAAGAATTAATGAGAGATTCATAGCTTATGTATTGTAAGGCCAGAAGGGACCATCGTGATCATCAATGAATGGATATACAGGATAAACAACAACAATGGAATAAAGATCAAGGGTGGGACGGGATGAGGAGTGAATTAGTAAATACATCTCTAGTAACAACTGTAAACTTTGCCAACATATGATAGAGATGCTAATGCCAGAATTATTTACCCCATTCTCCAAGCTTCCTTAACACCAGCAAGCAAATTATCTGTTTAGGCATTTATCCCAAACTCATCATTGTAGCATCTGAGTGCCTGAGTCCAAAACATAAATGTTTGTTACCCTTATGCAACATCAGCCAAAGCCATACCAATCATCCCACTGACTGATATCCCAGCTGCCAACACCAAGTAAGTGTGCTAATGTACACCACTCTTCGTTTAGGGGTACCTTCCTCAAAACAGATGCAGGTTGCAGACAGATTAGTTTGCCAGCTCCACTCTCTCAGCCTCCAAAGAGTAGATTGATAGTCTAGTATTTGATACACAGCATACACAACACTCTACTGCCAAACCAGGCCCATGAGATAAACCAGAGCTGTATAATAGTAATAATGCTGGAGCAGGGTATTTAACCTTCCTGCTCTCAACTGACTTCTCCAGCTAGAAGCAGTCTGATGCCTATGAATGGCAAAAAAATGAGCAGTAGCAGCTGTGACAAAGGATTGATCTGCATCCATGTTGGATAACGTCTGCAGTGCACTGCATCCACTGTTATGATGCTGTGGCATCATGTGATGGCAGCACAAAACTCCCACAGTGTTCATCCTCTGGAGGATATGGACATAGTTTTAGCAGGATTGAATGTGGGACATTCCAGAAGGGTTGAAGCATGTTTCTGCAAAACACAACTCTGCACCATGCATGTAAATCATATTAAACAGAACAGCATTTAGCAACCATTTTCTAAGAGCTACAGCAAGCACAGGTTGGTGCTGTAAGATGGACAGGGTCCAAGACAGCAAAGATAGAATTATTTTTCTCCCTAAATAATCGATTTCCATTGCAATGGCTAGTAGAAATTGGCTATACTGTGCCTATTTATCAATGCCTTCAAAGCATTTGTGAATATTAGAGGAGTTTAGTAGAAGGAGCAAAATTGTCCTAAAAGCAATAAAATACTATGCTATTATTGCATAGAGAGAAAACAGCTTTCAAATAATTTGTGCTAGGCCCTCACATAAACATGCTGATAAAACAAGGATACACAGACATACTTTGCTGTCCATTGCCTGTGCTGAACCTAAATGAAACCTCTCAGTAGTAGTAGAGGCAGACACAGCATTGAAAAAATGATGTTACCAACTTCTACCTCTTCCTTCACAGAAATGACTTTTAGAGCAGGCTGCAAAGCCTATCTGTTTTAATATTTTTTCCCCTAAAGGAGCACGTTGAAAGACAAGTGATTTTAGTTTGGCTGGGTGTGCCCTGAAGCAAACAGAAGTTTTCCTATGTGTGGTTTGAAATGACTGAAATGGTGCATGGACTGTTTACTGCTACATGGCAGAGATTTTCAAAGAGACCAAAGGGATTTGGATGCTTAATTCCCATTACTTTAACTGAAAGAGAGCTTTAAGTACCCTTAAGTACCTTGTGATTTATAATATGCATCTATTATTATTATTGAGTGCCCAGTATTGCTTGTGTTACAGCAGTGCTTTAGGCCACACCCAGGTTCACTGTGCTAGATGCTGTAGCAATATAGGCTATTTTCAAAGCAACCTGACGGAGCTGGATGCCCAATTTCCATTTTCTCTTTGAAAATCACAGCCAAATACTAGTAGACAGTCCCTTCCCCAAAGCTAGCATCTGAGCATTTCAGTCGTTGAAAACCACACATAAGAAGATTCTATTCACTCCAGGGTCAATTTTCAACCACTCCCAACCCAGTCAGACTAAAAACATTTATCCTTCAACCTGTTCCTTCAGAAAATTTTTATTAACACAGGTGAGCTTTGTAGCCTGCCGTGAAAAATCAGCAGAAGATTCAAGTCAGGTGCACACTAATTTAAATATCCATGGAAAATAAAACTTTAATTATGACCCTGCATTGAAAACCATCAAATTACCACTAATCGAGCCTCTTCTTCTTTCAGTCGCTTTGCCTCCTCTTTTTGAGCATCCAGTGCAGCTACCTGGGCATCAAGCACATTCAGCAATTCTTGATTCTGTTCAGATTTTTTCTGGAAGTCTTCAATCCCTCGTTTTTCCTTGGCCAATCGGTCCTCTTCCCAAAGCTCTGCAAATATCTGTTCCTCCCTCTTCTCTTGCTTCTTCAATTCTTCCTTAAGGGCCAGTTGGGCCAGTCGGTCTGAACACACCTCTCGCTGATGTCTCTTACTCCATTGTAAACGAACCTCTTCACACTGTTCTCTGAACATGTATAAAAAGACAAAAAAAGTCATAAGATAATAGCAGCTAGTTTGGTGACTTTTGATGGAGACAAAGTCAGGGTCCAATGATCTAAGCCAGGCCTGCACAACATGAGGCCCGGGGTCCGCATGCGGCCCACATGGGCTCATTGTGCGGCCAGCAGGGGGTGAGTAGGTGGGCTCACTGTGTTGCCCGCAGCGGAAGGAGGGTTTGTTTCCGTGGGGCAGGCCGCGCTGGGGAGGAGGGGTTGTTTCAGGGGGGCTTGGTGGCATTTGGGGGAGTGTTTCAGCGGCGCTGGGGGGGTTGTTTCTGTGGGGCAGGGGGTGTTGTGTTTCAGGGGGGCTGCACGCTGCTGGGGGGCGGAGGGGAGAGGGTTTCAGCAGGGCCGGGGGGTTTCGGCCCTCTGCTGTTTTCTTTGTAGTAATATGGCCCTCGCCGCTTTACGAGTTGTGCAAGCCTGATCTAAGCACAGGACACAGAGCCAGAAATGGCTGAATTCTAAAACTGATTCTAACACCAACTCTTGCTAAGGCCTGGGAAAGTCACTAAACACCTCATCTTGCACCAGGGAAGTCAATAGGAATTTTTCCATTGACATTAATGGGAGTAGGAGCAAGTCCTTAAGCTACATTCCTCAGTTTACCCACCTGTAAAATAAAGATCATATATAATTATACACATTCCAACTTTCTGTCTTAGCATTTGCTAATAACTTTGAAGCTGAATCACATTCAGAAACTGATCACCAGTGCTGGAAACTCTGTTACACTGTTCAGTAAGAACATACCAGATTTTAGTAACGTTTGATTAAATAAATTCAGACATTTTGCAGGATCATTTAGGAAAATGGCAAGAACAACCATGGATAGATATTAAGTATCATTCAACAAACAAGCAACACACCTGTTTAATGATATGACATCAATAACACAATTTTAGCTTTAATTTATTCACTGCACCTGAGTTACATAAAATGAATATTTTACCTTCAATTTAAGAGGAAAAAATGGATATTTCAAGAGCACTTCTACTTTAATTTTTATAAGTGAACTCCAATTAATATCAACGTATGCTATCAATGTATATTTAGTCTGAACAATATTCAAGCATTTTAATTCACTCTATAAATAAGTTGTGCAGTTTCATTGTTCACCATCAACATAAAGTAAAAACAAAAAGGAAGGTAACAGATAATGGGAATATTTATCAGCATGAAGAATTACCATCCTGAAGAGCATATATGCATATTATTAACTAAAAATACCCCACATTATTTAATGTTCATAGAAAACCATCTTCAACAGATTATTGCAGTGCTCACTTATGAATTCATTGTGATCATCAATATAGATAGATCATTTACTGTATTTCAGGAACTACTGTATGACAACTAACTGGTAGTTATTTGTATAAATGTGCAATTATTATTTTATATATTGACTATTTAGTTTAATAATTTTGTATAGCAAAAATTATTAAATATTCATCAAACAACTATCTTCTAGTCTTGCAGTTATCAGGATGGGACATATAAGAGTCATAACTGCAACAATGGAACAAATACCAAAGAAATCCCATTATTTAGGATTTTTTCTCACCTAAAAAGATACAATTAAAATTTTGTTTGTCAGCCCTGAAAGTGAAAGTAACAGATTTGGATGTTGCTACTGAAGACCTGTCCATAATGAACACTGCCCCTTCTGGCTCTATTATCATCTGATAAGCACTGACAGTGAGTACGGTGCTGTGCAAGAAAAACACTTCCTCTGCTCCAATGAAATTACAGTCTAAATAAATAGAACCGTACAAATCAGACACAAAATGCTCCAGGCGCCTCAGAAGATGGTTATGCCTTAGGTCCCATGCCTACAATGGGATTCACATGCACAGACCCTTACTCTCACACTAATTCTCATTAACTTTAGTAGAACTCTGCATGCATATCCCTCTCTAAGCTCATACAGTAGAAGCCCATGCATTTAGCTCCAGAGGTCCCAGGGTCAATCCCTCCACCGATGACCTGGGCCTGTGTCAGCATTACAAGTGGAGGCTCTTCTGGGATATCAACTGGGAAGTCTCGGAAGCTCAGGACATGCTTCCTCAGTTATGGGAAGTATGTAACCCATGCCTGCTTGGTGTGGCGCTCTGTCCCCCTCTAGTAGCACCTAGCACAGCTAGAGATTGAGGAGTCTGCTACAGCCTTAGCTAAAAGCCAACTGGCTTTTAGCTCATGCAGTAGAGACTCATAGACTGAGGGCAGGTCTACACTAGAAGCATTACATTGGCACAGCTGCGCTGCTGTAGTGCGTCTGAGGAAGACACTCTATGCTGATGGAAGAGCACTCTCCTGTTGGCATAATTACTCCACCTCCATGACAGACAGAAGCTATGTCAGCGGGAGAGCGTCTCCTGCTGACAAAGCGCTGGTGTTGACAGCGCTTAGGTCACTGTCACTTATGTTGCTTGGGTGGAGGGAGATCTTTTTCTTACGCAAGTTAGATTGATTTAAGCGGCAGCGTAGACCTACCCTAAGTTTCAGAGATCCCAGGTTCAATTCTGCCTGCTGATGACTGAGGTCTGTCAGCATTATACCTGTCCATGTAGGATAGGAGTTCATATAATCGTAGGACTGGAAAGGACTGTGAGAAGTCATCTAGTCCAGTCCCCTGCACTCATGGCAGAACTAAGTATTATCCAGACCATCCCATCCCATCCCAGTTTTTTCAATCTTTCCTCATAGGTCATGTTTTCTAGACCTTTAATCATTTTTGTTGCTTTTCTCTGGACTTTCTCCAATTTGTCCACATCTTTCCTGAAATGTGGCACCCAGAACTGGCCACAATACTCCAGTTGAGACCTAATCAGGGCAGAGTAGAGCAGAAGAATTACTTCGCAGGTCTTGCTTACAATACTCCTGCTAATACATCCCAGAATGATTGCCTTTTTTTTTTTTTGGTAACGTGTTACACTGTTGACTCATATTTAGCTTGTAATCCACTATGACCCCCAGTACTCCTTCCTAGGCAGTCATTTCCCATTTTGTATGTGTGCAACTGATTGTTCCTTCCTAAGTGAAGTACCTTGCATTTGTCCATATTGAATTTCATCCTTTTTACTTCAGACCATTTCTCCAGTTTGTCCAGATCATTTTGAATTTTAATCCTATTCTCCAAAGCACTTGCAACCCCTCCCAGTTTAGTATAATCTGCAAACTTTGTAAGTGTACTCTCTATGCCATTATCTAAATCACTGATGAAGATATTGAACAGAACTGGACCCAGAACTGATCATTGTGGGACCACACTCATTATGCCCTTCCAGCTTGACTTCGAACCACTGATAACTACTCTTTGGGAAGAGTTTTTCAACCGGTTATGCACCCACCATATAGTAGCTACATCTAGGTTTTATTTCCCTAGTTTGTGAGACAGTAACAAAAGCCTTACTAAAGTCAAAATGTACCACATCTACCGCTTCCCCCCATCCACAAGGCTTGTTACCCTGTCAAAAAAAAGCTATTATGTTCGTTTGACACAATTTGTTCTTGACAAATCCATGTTGACTGTTATTTACCACATTATCTTCTAAGTGGTTGCAAATTGATTGCTTAATTATTTGCTCTATTATTATAGCCCCACAGTACAGAGGTAGGGCTCTTTAGCTCAAGCTGTAGTAGCTCATGCTTTTTAGCTCTGGAGATCCTGGGTTCAATCCCTTGTGTTTCAGCCAAGATGACAGCTGTCAGACAAGAAACTAATCATACATGCTTCTGAGGATCACTGCTTTACATTGTAGGGTTTTTCCTTAACTGAACTGGTTGGTGGCAACATTTTTAATTAGCAGGGTTAGCACTGATGGCCTTGAGGGGAGACGTGAGTTTTAAAGAGGGATCTATGTGAACAGAAGGTGGAACACCTGGTGCACGGGGATAGGGACTGAAGGGAGGCAGCATCGAAGAAGGCATGAAGGGGAGGGTGGGAGAAGAATCTGAAAAGAGTGGTGGGGCATCTAAGCTAGTAGGGAGAACTGATAACCTCTCATCTAAGCCAACAAAATTGGGAAACTTATATATGTACTCTGGGCATTCCAGAAGCTATAGATAACCATGGCCTTGATATCACATATGATAAATGAAAGGCATAGACATTTGAGGCCTTGCAGTAGCATGAATTCAGTTTAAGAGCTTGGACAAATAAAGCTTTTAGACATTGCAAGCCTGGCTGCCCACACTGATGTTGCTTTGTGTTGGCACTTCAAGTTAGCAGTAGTGCTCAGCACCTTTCCAGCTTGTTGGATGCTTTGGTTAACATGCCTTACAACATTTTAGTTCTGGTTGCCTTTTCTCGCAAGAGTCATTTTTTTTTGCTTTTCATAGAGCTCAGCATGGCTTGTAGGTCAGGTGAGAGGAGACTGAACAAGATGCAAATTCTGTGATAATACAGAGATTCTGAGTGTTGCAAAAAGAAGTACTTGCTGATAGATCATTTTCTAGGAATTACACTTTTGATTGAGGGCAACATTTGAGTAGCTGGTATAATATCCAGTTCCGTGAAATAGAATCACATCTTTTCTAACAAAAATATTGGCCTTTAGACATTTAAATTGTGACTTAAAAAGGAACATACAGAAGAACCAAACCACTTATTTTATAACCTGGCCTTTTAAAAATTTTTATACAGATGCCTTGGATTGTGTCGAATTATCTCTAGCACTTTAATTGATGCCCTGCCTTAATACAGCTAACATGCCATTATTTGCTACTACCACATCTAGGGAGCAAGCATGACGGTGTGGTTAGGACATTGGACACCTTCTTGGACTTAAGTTTATTTCCGCCTTTGTAACAAAAGGATGGATAATACTTCCCCTTTTCATATGCTGTCCTGAGGATGAGTTCAGTTCTATAAAATGCTCTGAAGGTATGAAATGCAAGGTAAGTGCTAAGAATTATAAATTAGGCTCACTGGGATCTTGCTGTATGTATGAAGTGTTAAACAACTATAAAATGCTGTTTCCAGTTCTTCTGCATTTTAGTTATAGTTAACCTGCATTTTAACTTTTGGGTAGAATTTGGTGACTAGACACTAAAATAATCAGTATTAATGAGAAAATGTACTGTTTTCATAGTGTTCCAAAGGAAATGTATAGTTCTTGAGATCTGAAAGGTATTACCCTAAGGAAAACTATACTCCCTTAATAAAAGGGGTTCAAAGTTCCCTCAGCCATGAAGGGATTAAAATTTTATTTTATTTCACGCAATCTGAATTTAGTAGTTTCAAGTAGTTTAGTAGTTTCACACAACCTGAATTTAGTAGAATTCTCAAGGGGAAAAAGGGAAAAGTTTGCCATGGTTAGAATTTTAATATAAAATAACTATAATTGCTTGATTCCATCAAAATAATTCTTTCAAAGCAATTTTTACAGCAACATACGAACATCTGCTCCCCCAGATGGCTGTTTTACCTCTTCACTTTGCTGTCCTAAGCCTCTTAACATTAAAAATGCAGACTGTATATAGGAATTTCCAGAAGACAGAAGCCAAATTTACTTCCCTCACAGTGATTTATCCATTTAATGGATCTGAGACAAAACTGCTGTGATAACACTACAAGCATCTCACAGAGAAGGCTATCACAAGAAAGAGGGGATATATTTTTATGCAAATTCTGGCATTGTAATTTTCTCTAAAATATATCAATAAGGAAAGTTCTCTTTGGCTGCAACTGATAGGCTGGGGAGGAAGAGAAAATGAAATGACTCAAAAATTAAAGTTGCCAGTGATTTAAAAAAAAAAGTTAAAAACCATATTTCAATAAATAACCAGGCCCAAAGCAGCAGAGATTAGCACCACCCTCTAAATTAGAAGAATCTTCCAAAATGTTTCTACAAACGTCATCCCCATCTTTCCTAGGTTTAACTTCAGCAAGATGTCCTTCATCCAGGTTCCAATCTCATTTAGGCATCAAGATAGCTAGGATAAAATGCTTCCAGTGATAGATGTGATAGAAATAGAACCTGTTGTTGTCACATTGTTAATTGCTCACATTTGAGTTCATAACTTCTCACCATCACCCCCTGCGGTTTCATGAACTAGGTGAGGGAGAATATGAAGCTTTGCAGAACTACACCCGGGAGAATGATTATGGCTGAGGTACAACTGGCTATTACAAGCTTCTGAGAGAAGCCCAAGTAAAAGAACAGGTGCCATCTCTACCCTGGCCATTGCACTTGCTCCCCAGAGAATCCAGGATTAAACTCAAGGACTTGTTCTTCCTCTTCAAAGTTTTCAAATATCTGAGCCCCAAATATCTCAAGAATAACCTCTCTCCCATGACCAGGCCATAACACAACAACCAAGATAATCTGAAGCAATGGAAATATTGCTTGTGAGTACAGGCTTTAATTCATGGTGATAGAGTACCCTACCACAGATTAGAATGACATCAGCTTTTGGAGACTTTAGGAGGAAGAGACCCTTTCTCCCCATATACCATGACGCTAACCATCTCCACCCCTTAGGAGGAAAAAAGGATTAAAAAATACTAAGCAAATGCATGAAACTGGAAGAAAGAAGGATGATGATACCTGTCTTAAGAAGGAGATCAAAAGATAATTCAATCTGTTGACAGTTTGTGCTGGCTGTATTGCTTTTTTTTAAAGGCACTCATATAAAAGTGACAGTTGAACGAGATGAGAATTCACTGCTGAGCTGTACTTCCTTTGTGCCAGCAAAACCAGTGCAAAGGGTTACATGCAGTCAGGGGAGGAGGTTTCCACGTGCCAAAGGTCCCAGGTGCCATCAGAATCCTCTCCATCACATTACATCTTTGTAGGTTGCACTTACCTTTTCATTATCCTATAAATAAGCTTAGTAAATTCTGAGCAACAATTCAAATATATTAACACAATATGATTACTGCAAACCATGAAGTGACTAATGAAAATGCTCATACAGCACTGCAAGAGCTGTGGTACAAACAAAAAAATGCGCTATCCCATGTTTCAGCATAACTATTTAGGAATAAATCATTATCTGTGTTAAGAAATGTTTATTATCCAATAAAAAGTCAATTTTTCACCTAAATATTTTGTGTCTCAAGTGAAAAGGGATAATATGAGGGATGACAACCTTTTCTGATCACACACAGCAAAGACATGCTGTAATTGATACTATCATCACTCATGGACAGAGCCTATTCTTCCACTTTGGTAGCATTTTGCATTCCATTGTTCAAAAATTAGCCCAACTCCAATTGTCTTAGCTTTATGTTACTATCTCCAATGACAACTTTGTAAACCTAATTTTCAAACGCCTTCCAAAAACAGAAGCACCCGCTTCTGACACACGCAATTTGAACAGTTCACCATGCAATTGCTTAACTGGGGTGTGAAAATGGTTGCATGTGCAAACTACTGAGAGAGTCAGGAAATGTGACCTTGGAACAATTTTAAGACCACAGTGAGTTTTAACAGCTTAAATTAGGAACAGACGGAGAGGAGGGATATAGTGTAAATTGCAAGGGCCACATTTTTGAGTCGGCATCTGAATTTGCACCTGCATATGTTGCATGAGCACCTATCCCAGCACACAAGATCAATATCTGAGAGAGTAAAAGGACATTTGTTTGTTTGATTTGGGTACTCTGGAGTTTAAGGAGAGGGTACGCTCAAGTCTTCCACCCTTGATTTTCCTCTCCAGCTTCTATATGGTGGAGAGTAGGAGCTAAGGATTCCCAAACATTGAGGCTTGAGAGGGACCCTTCAGAAAGAATTATAATTCACCTATATTTGAGTTATTTCCATCTCTTCCCCAGAAAACTAAAAATTCAAAGAACTGAGCTAGTTAGATTTATTGTGCCAACTCCTGTGATGAGCACCTACAATACCCACTGACTTCAAAGGAAGGTGCAGGGCTCAGCACCCATGAAGATTTACCCCAGAATGTCAGATCGCACTGCATGAGAAGGGGGAAAAGTTAGATCCTTAGCTCAAAATGGCCAGTTATATCACTTCTAAAAAGTTGTGCAATGAATTTAAACCCTGACTTTTTTTGGATAGTTTCAACTTTTTCTCATTGAAACTCATGAAAGAATATATTCAGCTGAGCTACACAAACCTATTTTTAGGCCACATTCACTTCTGGGCATTTACACACTATGTATACCAAACTAAAATATAACTTTACATCCTGTTGAGGAACTACAAAAGTGATTGATTTTGCAGGGTAAAGTGCTGAGACGTTCACATGTGAAATTATTTTTAGTCTTTATGAATGAAAGAAACTTTCATTGTTTCTGAATGTTTGAATCGAGGGATGGTCAAAGTGCAGTTCAATGTGGCCTGCTGCCATGTTCGTTTAGAATAAAATGTGTAGTTTACACACAATAGGGAGTATTGCTTGCTAGGATCTATCTTGATCTGGACCAGCATTGCAAGCTTGGACCGCTTGTCCTCACAGACTGCACCTCTTTATTGAAAATGAGGACTACAATCTGCTCCACTGTATTCAAGTTAGGTGAGGCCCTTCAACTCTTGGCAAGTAGCCAGCATGGCCATCAACTGGACAAAGTTTGGACACCTCTGCCATAAACCTTGTTGAAACTTAAATATGCATCAATTCAGTTATATTTATCTTTCCCTCTTTAATTTACAGTCTCCATTCCTGTCAGATTATTTACTTACCACTTTCAGTCTGAGAAGATTTTTTCACTGAGTTACCTGAACTGTTGCTCTCGCTTTAGAGCAACCAATTTTTGTCTTTCTTCCTCTCTCTTCTCTCTCAGCACTTTTGCTCGCTCTCTCATTTTTGCTTCTCTTTCCAGCATGGTTTCTTCCATTGACTCCATCTCAGTGAAATAGCTCTTTTCTTCTGCTTCCAGAAGTGCCCGAAGCCTGAAAGGAAGAAAATATTTCAACAAAAGCTAAACAATCCTGTCTGTTGAATGCTGCAGCTTTAGTACATTTACCATGAGATTATCAGATTGAAAGTTTTTAGTTAATCTTGTCCAACAGAATCTATGCTCAGAAGTGTGTGTGTGTGTAATCTATTATACACAATCCATGAGAGACAAGTAGCTGCCTCAATCATTTTCTTATCTGATGGCATGTCAGGTTAGCACTGACAAAGCAATAGATAAATCTCTATGGTCATTTAGGGCCCACTCAAGCATTGGTATGAAAGATAGTTACGCCATTGAAATTCTGATAATCACCCGAGAATGGACAGACCCTAGTGCATCTCTGCTGGGTCCGTTTCTCTAAAAGATGAAGCAGTTAAAATTCGCTGCCACTTTCAAACCAAAAAAAAAGTCAGGGCATTGTTCAGAGATCAAATCCTTGGAAACCTGCCTAGGCAATGATTCTTGGAATTTATTTTTAAACATTATACTGTGTGAAAAGCACGTGGTTAAATGTGACATTTAGGCCAAAATATGACATACTTCAGAAGTGTTGTAATTCACTCTGGAATCAATGGATCTTAAAGAGGTGGGGAGCAAGTCTACTGCCTTCTCGTGGAAGCCATCAATACAAAAATCAATGCTAAAGTAGACAAAAGACAAAATTGGAGCTCAAGTTCTCATTGTAAAAAGTGAAAAACAAATACAACCCAAATGAGTTGTTCTCCAAGGGCTCTCTGAGTCTTTACCCACAGATCCAATCATTGGAATAACATCGGTGCAGTCTCCCAAGTTTCTATGATAAAATTCTGGCCACTGCAAAGAAATATATACCCCTCCACTCCCCGCTAGGATTTTGTCAACAATTCATTCCTGGATGGTCGTCTAATGCAACCAGACTATATCAGGAATTTAAATCCAGTAAGAATGAACAGGTTTGTGACAAAAGGCAGAGACCTTCTTTACCTTCTAGCTTAAACAAGACAAAAACGATGGAAAGAAACTAACTCCAAATTGAACTTCACACTTTCCAGTTGCAAAGTCTAGCAAACTATTAAGAGATTGAGTGGAGCTTCTAGGCTGGTCAAGAAGGAATACCCAGCCACAGCAAACTCCACCACATCCCAGCTGGTAGCCAATGGCAGAGCTCCTAATCAAGACAAAGCTTTCAGTCACACAGTTAAAATGATGGTTCCTGAGAAATGGCAGATTCAGGGAGTGGATATGAACTCGATGACGCCTTTTACTCATCAAGAGCTCAACCTGGCTATACATCAACTGCGGCCTAATAAGGCTCCTAGTCTAGATACCATTCACAGTGACTTTGTTTCTCAATTTTGGTCAATCAGCAAAAACTGGCTGCTTCGAATTCTGAATTGTACTGAGAATTGCAGTATTCCAAAAGCCTGGTGCAGAGCAGAAGTTGTAGCTGTTCCCAAGCCAGGAAAACCATTGACAGTTCCAGAGAGCTACTGACTGATTTCTCTGCTGTGCATTAACTACAAGCCAATGAAGAGATTAATCCTGATGTGGATAATGAGGTAGTCACTTCTCAGCTGCCTTGCCTTCATGGTAGATTCAGGAGGGGACGATGCATCCAAGATCAGGAACTTTGTCTGACTCAAAATATAGAAAATGCATGAGAGTCTGGAAAGAAAGTTTGTGCAGTCCCTACTGATCTGACAGCAGCCTATGACACTGTGTGGCATGTTAACTTGCAGCATCTTAGCAGTCAGCCTATTTCTTGTAGGCTAATGATGCAGTTCATCTGAGAAATGGTCCCCAGCTGAAACTTCCTCCTGTAAACTGGGGAGAAAAATCAGTCACCTTAAATGTCTCCATAATGGCCTTCCACAAGAGTCAGTTTTGGCTCTCATTTTGTCCAAGATATACACATCCAACCTCCCTGGAACACAGGCCGAGAAGTATATGTATGGTGAGAACATCCGTATTGCTGATACTGGAAATTATTTCCATGGGATCAAAGGGAATCTCAGCCAATGTGGATATTCTGACAATTTACTTCCAGCAATGGAGACTAATCCTAGTGAAAATAAGACAGTGGCAATTACTTTCCATCTAAACAATCATCTTGCCAATTGACCGATCTCAATCTGTGTCCACGGATGACTGCTGACATTCCATCCAGTTGTCACATATTTGGGAGTAAAACTCGACCACAGCCTGACATACTAGTCCCACTTGGAACACCCGCAAATGAAGATTTCTTCCCATACCGCCTTGATATGAAAACTATCAGGAGCCTCCTGGAGAGGAGACCCTTCAGTCCTTCATTCATCTGTATTGGCCTCTGTGCTTGCTCCTACTGAATGCTGCTCTGCAGTTTGGAGGCACAGGTGTCACACTCATATTGTTGACACTGAACTGAATTCAGCCACTCATTATTAGTAGCTGTTTGAATTATAGACCAATTTCCAGTCTGTATGTGCTAGCACACATAGCTCTGCCTGATCTTCGACGAGTTGCCCTTTCCGATAAGTCTACCTACCTGGACATCTGTGACAAATGAAACCAACCCATTACATCTCCAGTTGACTGATGCCCCATTCTCAGACAGAAAAAACACAGCACCAACTCAAAGGTCTGCTTGTATTCTGGGAAGGAATCACACCCCTGTGTGACACCACAGCTGATCACTACCTCCCCTTTGCTATGGCAGCACATGCATTCTTGGATAAGAGTGCTACTGGCCCTTTACCGTGCTTGACTGATCAGCGCTTCCAGAGAGCTGAAAACGACGTCCTTACAGAGTAGAAGCATCAGCAAAAAAGAGAGTCTAAAACAGTAAACAGGTTTCAGAGTAGCAGCCGTGTTAGTCTGTATCCGCAAAAAGAACAGGAGTACTTGTGGCACCTTAGAGACTAACAAATTTATTAGAGCATAAGCATAAGATGCATATGCATCCGAAGAAGTGGGCTGTAGTCCACGAAAGCTTATGCTCTAATAAATTTGTTAGTCTCTAAGGTGCCACAAGTACTCCTGTTCTTAAAACAGTAAATAAATTTAGGAGTCCATCGCCGCACCTGCCTCCTTGTCTGCTTGATCTTAGATCCTGGACCCGCTCAACAGGGTACTCTGTGGATTGTCCAGAGTTGCTGCAACTATGCTCTGGTTTAGCCTGGTTTCTTCCTCATGTTGCGACTGGGAAAGCATTGCAGTCAATGACTCATGTAGTGAAGGGTACACATTTGTAGGTCTGTGAAAGTATAAGTGGCTCCATACTAGACTATTTTATGTTTTGAGGGGACGTTTTACTAGGAAAAGCAACAATAGGGTATAAGAAGTAAGAGAAGACATTTTGAGACATTCTTACAATCACCTGTTACTTGCTTTTCCTGGCACAATTCCTTTTTGCCCCCAGAACACAAAGTATATCAATGACTCGTAATATGCATCACCACTTACCTCTGTATTTGGCCCAGAGAGCAGTGAACTCATAAATTCTAAACCTCATTCTCACAATGACACTTTTTGTGACCTTGGGCAAGTCACTTTTTCCGCCTGTAAAATGGGGATGACAACACTTACTTAAATCACAGGAGGACTTCTGAGGAGACTAGTAAATATAATAGTTATTATTTGTAAAGCAAAGTATCTAACAACCAGAATTTTTGCTATAAGGACTCACTGGTGATGGAGACTGAACTTCCTTCTCATGGCCCCTCCAAGTCAGGGTTAAGTCATGCTTGAAAGACAGCATAGGGAAACTTGCCCTACTAGTCATTGTGCAGTGCCTACTCTCCGAACAGACGGAAGATTAATCTTCAGGGCTATCAAACCAGCATTTTTCACAACACTGAATTCACTTAATGAAAAAGATGTACACTGACTACGGAATTAAAGCATTTGACTATATTCTAGGATGATTCAAGTTCAGTTCTACTCCATAAAAACATAAAATGGCATCATGAAGTCTCACATGTATTGTTTATCAACAATTTCTGGATTGAATTTACTTATTCACTAGGAACAATATTTTTTTCTAACTGCTTGCCCTGCAAGTGGGCCCTGGGATCTAAAAGTTAAATTAAAGAGGTTGTATTGGCATAACTAAGAACACAATTTGACTGTTGTGACATTGGTAAACCAGGTGCCAGCTCTTGCCATGGCTGTAGGTGTCAGCTGAGCACTGACAAATTCATAGCTGGAAAACAGATCAGCTCACTTGTATGTTAATATTGTTTGAGACAGATGATGAGCTTGTAAGGATGTGTTTAGACTCTATAAAATGGTTGTAAAGTTGCTGCATGAATTAATCTTACTTCTTTTGTCTGTATCCCATGCTATAAGGCAATGTGTAAGTTTTGCTTTATAATTGTAAAAAATCTCTGCTCTGAGCTTGTGAACCTAGGCAGGAAAAGTGGTTCCCCCATCCATCCAGAAGAACTATCAAGATTAAATGGGCCATCCAACACAAAGGCTCATTTAATGGCCTTCTTACACCCATGAAGGTGCTACATGCCAGAAAGCACATCCTATCAGCTTGAATTCTGGAACAGATAGCTGACATGAAGATTTTTCATCTCTTTGCTGTTTGGTCTCTTTCAAGGGATGGAGCTAAGAAACAAAACACAGAGACCCCATGGTCAACCTGGGTTAGCCCTAAAAAGACAGTGCTTTTGGAACCCTAGACCGAACTCATTTGCATATATATGTCACCTGCTTTAATCTGTAAATAACTCCCTTGTTTCTTTTTCCTCGTTAATAAATCCTTAATTAGTTTATTATAGGATTAGCTACCAGCTTTGTGTCTGGTGTGAGATCTAAGGTACAAAATGATCTGGGATAAATGACTGGTCTCTTGGGACTCAGAGTAACCTGAATATTTTGTGATTTTCAGTGTAAGTGACCATTTATCACTAAGCCCAGCTTGCCCGAGTGGCAAGATAGACTGGAGTGCCCAAGAGGACTGTCTGTGACTCCATGGTAAGGCTGTTACAGTGATCCAGGAGTTAATATTTGTTACTGGGTTGGTGAAATTTAATTACACAATATGCCAACAGTTTGGGGTCTCTGCCCTGCTTTTGACAGTCTGCCCTGAGGTTGGCACTCATGGTCATGAACCACTCCCAAGAGTATGACAGCCCTGCAGTTGGAAGTTTTAATAACTTCGATACATGAGCCAGAATGCAGTTCACTCTCTCTTAGCCCTAAAGAGCCAAAAAAGCTAACTGGAGCAAGGAGTGCTGAAAAATTATTTTTGTCAGTGAATTCAGCAGATATGATCCTAACACACAGCTATAATGTGTGTGACCATGTCTGTCTCTAATGTTTGGCCCAGTAACTGTACAGCCCGCTATTTAACTGACAGTTAAATTAGTTCTCTTTTAGCTCAAGCTTCTGCCCTGGGGTCACCAATGAAAATAGCATCACTATATCCATGGCCCCAGTTCATTACACACACACACAGCAGAAATCTGCTGAGTGATTTTGTTTTGGCAGTCACTATACTGAACATACGTGCCCTAATAACTTAAACTTTAAAGTTTCTTTTGTTCCCATCGATATTATTCTAAATCAATTTTGCTTGCATGGAAATGAGGATGAGAAGAACCTGAAATCCGTTTATCAATTGGCTCCAGCTTTTTGATTTGTTACCTCTCTCTTCTATCCTCAGTTCCTGCCAGGTACGCCTGCATCGTCTGATCGACCTTCTTCTGTACAATACTGTGAAGCCTTCTGCGTTCATTGTGATTCTCCCACTGACTGACCTGCAGACCTCTGTTGTGAACCTTTGTGAAAGCCAAGTATTCAAGACGTTCTTTTTCTTTACGTCTGCATTCCAAGACGAAACATTCAGACTTATCAGGTTTAGGAAACTTGGCCCTCTGTAAAAGAAAATGTCTTTAACAATGGAAACAAGACCAATGGCTCTCTTTTAATTTATCGTCTCAAGCAGGTAATGACCAATCATAGAGCAGGTATTAATAGGAGTTCAAAGTAATGTTAAATGTAAAATTCAAAAACTACACTTTTCAGTAAATACAAGCCACCATTCTGGGAAGGCCTAGATAACTCAGGGGGTAGGCAATGGGATTAGGACTCATTCACCTCTACGTCACAGAGACCACAGTTTACTGTGCTGACTAAAAATGACTCACTCCTTGGGGTCTGTCCACATTACACCTATGTCGTCATAACTTATGTCTCTCAGGGTTGTAAATAACCACCCCATGAGCAACATAAATTACACCAACATAAGCACTTGTGTGTATGGTACTACAGCTTCTCCCACTGACATAGCTTCTGCTGCTCACAGATGTGAATTTTTTATGCCGATGGGAGAGCTCTCTCCCATCGGCATAGAACATCTTCACCACATGTGCTGCAGCAGCGCAGCTGTATCGGTTCTGCTGCTCCACTGCAGTGCTGTACGTATAAACATGGCCTCACTTGTACTCTACTTATCTACTTTACTTTTCGGTATGCATCCATTTGTGTCCCTTGCCATATACTCAGTCTGTAAGCTCCTTGGAGCAGGGACCTTCCTTTATCGATCTGTGCTGGGGTCCTGGTCCAGGACTAGGGCTCCTAGTCACTATGGTAATTCAAATGAATAATGATAACGATAATAAGTTGCTCTCATCTGACAGCATGGTTGTGTCCAGTTACCCACAGCACCATAAACACTGCAAAGCCTTGCGGGCAGCCCTGATATTTCAGGACAGGGAGTAGAGTCCCGCTGCCCTTCGCTGTAACGCAGAGGGGAGGCTGAGTTGTCCCTGCCCCACATCGACCTGGCGGCTGCGCTGCCATGTCCCCGGCTCCGGAGCACCCACCCCGCAGCGAAAACATCACATGCTCTTGGGTCCCGCTGCCCCGGGGGTGCTGAGAGCCATTGAACCAACCTGCAAACCCTGGATATGATGGAAACCACTGCAAGCCCGGGGGTGCAGCAGCACCCGCACTCCTAGTTCCCGCACCTATGGCACCCACTCCCGTCCCCCGCGCCCCACACCGTACCTCTGCGCCTGCGCCCACTCCCGCCCCACCTCCCACCGAACCGCAGCACCTGCGCCCACTCCCGTGCCCCGGCCCTTCGTCTGCGCCTCAGCCCAAGCGTCTCACCAGCGCCACTGAGTGCGGGGTGGAGCCCGTCACCTCCCGGGGGCGCTGGCTCCACGGGCCCAGCATCGCTCCCCCGGCCGCCGCCGCTGGAACCGCGGGGAGACTGCCCGGCCGCCGCCGACACTTCCGGGACGCGCGACCCGTTGCTATGACAATTGGCGGAGCAAAGCGGAAGTGATCTCAGGAGTGAGCGCTCTGTGAGCCGGCCCCTAAGGACGAAGCGACAGCAAGCAAGCGGCGCATGCGCACGAGTGAGCGGCCAGAAGGTTAGGTATGTGGGGGAACACAAATGCAGCAATAAGCATGCGCATAATGACGTTGTGGATCGTGATGGAAGCCCAGGCCTGGCGTGGTTGCTAGGTGCCCGCAGTCAGTGCTAAGGGAAGCAGAGGGCGGGGCTAGTGCGTGGCTACCACTGTCAGAGCAGGGCCTTCTCCAGGGAGGGCAGCCTGAGTCTCCTTCCACACGGAAAAGCTTCAGGCCAGGCTGCCACCGTATGCCAGGGGGTCGGCTCCGCACACTGCAGGAGCCTGATTCACTGCCCGTCTATCGGGCCACTGAGCCCTGGCTCCTGTCACACCCAGCATGTTCCCACCTGCCAGGGCCGGCTCCAGGGGTTTTGCCGCCCCAAGTAGCAAAAAAAAAAAAAAAGCCGCGATCGCGATCTGAGGCGGCAATTCGGCGGGAGGTCCTTCACTCCGAGCGGGAGTGAGGGACCGTATGCCGAATTGCCAACGAATAGCTGAACGTGCCGCCCCTCTCCAGAGTGGCCGCCCCAAGCACCTGCTTGGCAAGCTGGTGCCTGGAGCCGGCCCTGCCACCTGCACACAAAGCACCGCTCCTCAGCACAGGGTCTGCTATCCCCATCAGCACACACAGCACCACCACAGAGCCCTGCCGCTACCATTCACCCACCAGCCAACACACCATCACGACCATGTATGGGGCTGTCGAGTCCAGGGTGGTGTTAATACCATACTCCTACCAGCACACGCTGCCATGAGATACGGGGCCAGAGCATGTGGGCTGTGCGCCACCACCATGCTCCCACCAGCACACATGCACATACTGCCACCAAGCCTGGAGCCTCATCACCACCATGCTCCCATCAGCACATATATTGCCCCAACATATGGAGCCATTGCTGCTAATACCATGCTCTCACAGACCCATGTGTTAGCACTTCTAGGGCACCACCACTGCTACACTCACTATGAAAATGTACATTTATGTGACTTGTCTAGAGTCACATAGTGAGTCAGTAGCAGAGTTGGGAATAGAACCTTTATGTTCACCTATGGAATATGTTCTACAAGGAATGTAATTTTAAAAATACTGTAGCTATGAACATCTACCTTTAATACATACAGACATACATATATTTTTGAGAGCTAACATCTAGGTGCACTTTAGCATTATAAAATGTTTAGAATATTGCTTTTAATTTAGATCCTTTTTCTCTGTAGATAATTCAGAATCTGGGCTCTTGTGTCAGTTCATGCTTAAACCAAGGTCCTAGGTACAGCATAGTGCTTGCTATTTTCATTTCAGTTAAACTCCTTCTATGATGCGTTCGTGACATCTAGTGGCCATTTGATTCATTGTAGTTGTGTAGTCTGGAAATGCAGCGGATGATACAGTATATGAGGCAGTATCATGGCACAGAAGTGTAGAAATTACAAGATTAACCAAAAAAACCCAAACCCTACTAGTTTTACTATCCTGCTGCAAGGGCAGTATATAGTCTCTCTAATACAGAATGTCTCAGATATTGAACTGATACACTGCACTTGATCTTAGCTGAAGAGAAGCAAACATCTGCTTCTCTGAAATGCTTCTATATATAAAAGCATTTGTACATTTTGTCAATATTCCGTTGTTTGTCTTCATGTGTTGTATTTAAATGGGACTTTTATGTTTGACTATTCCTCACTAGCTCTTACCTGTACTTATCAACTTCTTTCCTATCCTCTTTACTAGTAGATACAATTCCCTCTTTAATAAATTCTTCCTTATGAGATGTCTCGGCCTAAACCCTGTGCTCCTCTTCACCACTCAGCTTTCCCCCAGCCCTTAGCTTAAAAAAAAATCTCTATAATTTTTTAATCTTACATGCCGGCAATCTGGTTCTGCTTTCATTTCTGTGAAGCCCATCCTTCCTGTATAGGCTCCTCATTTCCCAAAAAGATTCCCTGGTTCCTAATTGTTGATTAATATATGCTAGCTAGCATACATATATGCTATGTTGATAATATTACCTGAAATATATATTCAAAGCATTTAAGTATACTTATTATTAAGCATTATATAGCCCCAATTGGCCTGTACCTTTATTATAATCCTGTTCACTTATGCTGTGTATCCCATAACACCTTGCAGTAGCTGAAGTAAATTTTGACTTAAGAAGTTAGGTAAACTGTCAGTATCAGGACATACAATTGTTTCCTTATACAAACAGAAAGCGAGTTACCCTCACAAACCTATTTATCCTGACACAGGCCTAGGAGGTGTCTTCACACCCCTTAGTACCTGGAATGAATGTTCTCAGAACAAAGACAAGGTTTCATCGTGCCTTGGAATTCATGGGTTCAGAACAAAAGATAAAGGGGTACACCATGGTACCAGAAACAAACAAGGTAAAATGCTGATTAATTTAATCCAATTTCGGGTCATATATACAGTACTATTTACTGATAAACAAGTAGAGTATAAAAAGATGGCTTTAGGGGTCACACTTTCCGCATAAGTAATATATATACTAAGATATATGAACTAGAGTGTCTGGCATCAAATGAGGATATTGATTTAATAAGCATCGTAGAAACTTGGTGGAATGAAGATAATCCATGGGACATGGCAATACCATGGTACAAAATATATAGGAATGACAGAGTAGGTTGAGCTGGAGAGGCACTATATGTGGGGGGGAAAAAAAGGCATTGAGTCAAATATAGTAAAAATCATAACTGAACCAAACTGTACAATAGAATCTCCATGGACAGAAATTCCACGCTTGAATAAGAGTATAGCAGTAGGAATAGGATGGCGACAGTGATTTTGCAATACTCAGGGAGGTTAGAGAGGTTACAAAGGAAGAAAATGCAATACTAATGGGGAATTTCAGCTATCCCCATAATGACTGGGTATATGCCACCACAGGAAGGGATGCAGAAATAAAATTTCTGGACATCATAAATAAGGCTAAGATTTTGTCATGCATATTTTTAGTAAAAGTCACGGACAGCTCACGGGCAATGAAGAAAAATTCACAGATGCCTGTGACCTGTCCATGACTTTTACTAAAAATATGCGTGACAAAATGGGGAGCTGTGGGGTCCCCACAATGCCCACAGCAGCTGCGGGGGGCCCGGCCCAGAGCTCCAGGGGCCCCCCACCACTTGTAGGGGCTCAGAGCTCCAGGCTCCCCTGCTGCCCACAGCTAGGAGCCCCATGTCCCCATGGTGCCCGCGGTGGCTTGGAGCTCCGGGGCGGCCCCACCACTTGTGGCAGCCAGGAGCTGTGGGGTACCCACTGCCAGCAGCGACTTGACAAAAACAGTACAAGGAACAAAAGAATACCACCATGGCTAAACAGCTGAGTAAAAGAGGTGGTTAGATGCAAAAAGGTATCCTTTAAAGATTGCTAGTCAAATCCTACTGTGGAAAAAATAAAAGAGAATTAACTCTAGCAAGTCACATGTAAAAGTAAAATTAGACAGGCCAAAAAAGAATTTGACGAGCAACTAGCAAAAGACACAAAAACTAACTGCATTTTTAAAGTACATCAGAAGCAGAAAGCCTGCTAAACAATCACTGGGGCCACTGGATGACCAAGGTGCTAAAGGAGCACTCAAGGAAGACAAAGCCATTGCGGAGATGCTAAATCAATTCTTTGCATTGGTCCTCACTGCAGAGGATGACAGATTTCCACACCTGGGCCATTCTTTTTAGGTGACAGATCTAAAGGAACCATCCCAGACTGAGGTGTCAGTAGAGGAGGTTTTGGAACAAACTGATAAAACAAATAGTAATAAGTCACCAGGACGAGATGATATTCACCCAGGAGTTCTGAAGGAACTCAAATATGAAATTGCAGAAATACTACCTGTGGTATGTACCCTATCACTTAAATCAGCCTCTGTACCAGATCACTGGAGGGTAGCTAATGTAATGCTGCTTTTTAAAAAAAGGTTCCATAGGTGATCCTGGCAATTATAGGCCAGTAAGCCTAACTGCAGTACTAGGCAAATTGATTAAAACTATAGTAAAAAACAGAATTATCAGACATAGATAAACATGATATTTTGGAAAGAGTCAACATGATTTTTGTAAAGGGAAATTATGCCTCACCAATCTATTCAAATTCTTTGAGGGGGTCAACAAGCACGTGGACAAGGGTGATAGAGTCAATATAGTGAACTTGCACTTTCATAAGCCTTTGACAAGGTCCCTCATCAAAGCCTCTTAAGAAAACTAAGCAGTCATGGGATAAGAGAGAAGGTCCTCTCATGGATCAGTAACTGTTTAAAAGCTAGGAAACAAAGGGCAAGACTAAATGCTCAGTTTTCACAGTGGACAGAGGTAAATAGCTGGGTCCATCAAGTATCTATACTGGGATCTGTGCATTCAGCGTATTCATAAATGATCTGGAAAAGGGGGTAAACAGTGAGGTGGGAAAGTTTACAGATGATACAAAACTACTCAAGATAGGTAAGTCCAAAACAGACTGTGAAAAGTTACAAAGAGATCTCACAAAACTGGGTGATTCGGCAAAAAAATGGCAGCTGAAATTAAATGTTGATATGCACATTGGAAAAAATAACCCAAGCTATCCATACAAAATTATGGGGTCTAAATTAGCTTTATTACCATTCAAGAAAGAGATCTTGGAATCATCATAGATAGTTCTCTGAGAACATCTGCTCAATGTGCAGCAGCAGTAAAAAAAAATAGCTAACAGAATGTTAAGAATCATTAGGAAAGGAATAGATAATAAAACAGAAAATACCATAATGCCACTATATAAATCCATGGGGCGCCCACACCTTGAATAATGTGTGCAGTTCTGGTCAGCCTATCTCAAAAAAGATATAGTGGAATTGGGAAAAACGGTACAGAGAAGGGCAGCAACAATGAATAGCTTCCACACAAGGAGAGATT